CGCAATTCGTTGCATTTGCCTTTATTTAAGAGTGTATTTTCCAGATACGTTTTTGAATTCCAGTGAACAGAAGAACGGGTCAGAGAGAAAATTGCTGAGAAGCCGATTTAAAACTTTTGGTTAAATGCACTTTTTCAAGTGAACGCTGCAAACAAAGTGGCAAGAAGCTGGCTTCCTGTGGAACCGTATACGATGCGCTTGGAAGCTGCATACAGTCCGTATTAAAATTTATTTTTTCCTTTTTTCTTTCTTTTGGTGTGGACTTTAAGCCTTCTAGAAGTTATTTCCGAATGTCTGCCGGTACTGTGTATGCCTTTGTGTCTTCCTTCATTGGATGCAGTAATCCGATTTCTGTACAGTTTTTCATTTCATTCGTGAATAATCAAAGCACCAAATCCCCAAATGCCTCGCATACCGCATTTCAAATGATCATGCTCGTTTTGCGAGACAGACCGGCGAGAGGTGGAACTGAAGCAAATACATTATTATCCTTTCTGTGGAAATAATTCTTAGTACCTTCTGTCGTATCATCATCTCCCCTCCCCTTTTCCCCGTAGATATCAGTCCCTGTACTCGCTCCTTGAGTATCCTTCACTCGACAGATCTAGATATCATCATGTTTTATCACTGCAATGGCGTGGTCGTCGCCCTGCTAGTTTCTTGAGAATAATCTTTTCGATCGTCCATAAATATGGGAAATGCAGTGGCATGAAGCAAGGTGAAATTTATTCCCCGAAAACTGTTATCAGCGTACTTGAAAATATCCAACGTAAAGTTGAAATAACTTGAGGATTTTATATACAGCAGTGAATTACTCCGAATTCACCAAGTTGCAACACGTCGTTTTCAAACTAACTTTACATAGGCAGTAAAAGCTACATTTTTCAAGTTCACTATGTTACCAGCTTTGCTGTTTGGAAGGGAAAGATGGAATACCACTTTTGTTGAGAAAATGTTGATGTTGTTCAAACCATCCATGGATTGGTGCATTTGTTGTTGGAAAGTTTCACGCATCTCCAGTGAAGCTCTTTGATTCCAGCCCGACGTGAATGATATCATCAAGGCAAAAAAAAGAAGAGCTAAACTGATTGTGTTAGCGAAATTGAGAAGCAGAAGATGGGTAGCGTAGGCCCATAAGTGGTAGGCAGTATTAAAAGAGTACTGGAAAGAACGGTAATGTGATGGAACAGTTCCGGTGAATACGGAATGGTAAGAGAGGCCAAAAATACAGCATTTAAGAAGATAACAGCTGTCGCTACTGCTGGTCCTGGCGAAAAGGAATGCGACAGTAAAGCACGAGCTGATCAAAGTATAGAGCTTAGCAGAATGAATCACTGCTGAAGTGGTTGTCAGGGATAGTAAAAGACGGATCAGAACGGATAGTTGCTGCTGCTGGCAATCTCGGTAATCATTCACAGTCCAACAACGTCTCCGGCGTGCACTTCAGAAACAAGCAATGAACAGTGCAAAGATAACGTGGCAATGAATCGTAGCTCTAGCAGATTCTAGGTGCAGTGTAGTAGTGATGGAGGGGACATGCAAGTGAAAAAAATTGTGATAACAGATGGGGCCGTAAACAGTTTCATGTGGATGCTTTCAGGGGTCGCGACGATGGCGCTCTCATCACCGAGGCCCTGCCGCAGAAAGACTGTTTTGTGAGGTGAGCCCTCCGTTGTCGTCCTACCTTTTATCACTCCGATCAAATCAGTGCCGTTTTCGTTTGTGCACTTCATTATCATACTTCACTGTTATTGACAACGTGCAATGTGTTTTGTTTGCAGGCATGGCTTTTGTTTCGGGAGGAGGAGGCATTGGTGGTGTCGGGGGTAATTTGCCAGTTGCGGCGCCAGCAGCACCAGCAGCAGCACCCGGAATCATGCCGTCCGCTTCCCTACGTGTTCAGGTGTGTCATTCTACATTGCGTAGTTTTGCGTGTTTGTGCACGCGGATTTATTATATATGTAGACGAATGTTTTGCTAAAAATTATCAAAAAATTTGTTAAACATAGGCGAATT